GTAGGGAAATCTGTCTTTAAACAGCATCCTCTGTGTTCTCTCTCGTTTTGCATTTTCTCCTCCATGCCTGGTGATATGTCAGCATGTTTGGGAGTTTTCTTTTAGCCGAAGTTCACAGTGATCAGATTAATCAAACAGAATTCTCTCTGCTTCTACCTCTTTTGCATTGCATTTGGAGCTATCGAACCTCTTGTCTGACTTGTTCTGCATTGTTTAGCCCATTCAGTGCATGATGAGAGAACACCTAACGCACAGGGTCAGATTTCCTGAATGACATATGTTAGACCACAACAAAGGAGAAAACCCTGGAGAGATTATAAGTCTTTTTCACTGCAGAAGATTAGAGAGCAAAGAAAATGTCTACATTACACAAAGAAAGAACAGTGCGACCGGAATAATGAATTCAACTTTCAGGTTTGGGACCAATTCACCAGACTGTTCTAAACACACTGGTGTGTATTTAAACCTCCATCCCCTGCCCAGAAGAACGGGCCTCTACCCAGATACAATAGCCCTTGAAGGCCACTGGGATGACTATTAACTCAGCACAGCAATAATAGGTTAAAAGATCCTCAGATTCTTGGAGAACTAAAGGTATCTATCTCCCAGGGTGACAGATTACACTTCAAAGACATTCAGAGAGGACAAGGGTCCCAGCATCCAGGACCTCTGAGGAGAATATGACCATTCCTCATATCGACAATCTGGTTTGCAATCAAACAACAAGGCATGTTTGAATGGCCTCTCCTTTGTCTCTTGTTTTAGGACTTAGTCTTATATTTCTTCTTCTGGATCCTGATAACCATGTATTTTAATAAGATCTGCATTCTTAGAGGTTCATTTTTTTATTCTATTCATGATAGAACATGTGCACACACATGAGAGAAAGAAAAAGAGGGAGAGAGAGGCACCTCCACCCTCCTCAGGACTTGATCATGCTGCAGTCCTCTTCTTCCTCTAGCCTGCCAAGATCCTGTGTACACACTCATGTATTTCAGGCTGACCAGGCAGGGGACTCAAACCACAAAGACAAGTGACTTCCAGCTCTGCAGTCCAGTAGGCTACCAACTGCACCATTGAAGCTGGACCTTTTTTTTTTTTTTTCAGACTTGCTTCCACATCTCAATTTCTAATTTCTTAGAGAAGCTGACTTTAGGATAGGACTCATTTTGTGCAATGGTAGCTACAGGTTCAAAAATATATAGGTTTATAGAAGATCAAAATAAGAAATGAAAATCAGTTTTCTGAGGTTAGAGGGTGACACAGTGGTAAAATGCAATGCTCTACAAGGCAATACCACATGGGAAGTTTCCTAGTTCAAATCCAGACATCTCTGAGTATGCTGAGCACAAGTGTGCCCATGATCTAGGACAAGTTGAAGGCTGAGGGTGGATCATGGCATCAAGACTGTTGACAGTGCTGTCTCTCTCTCCCTCTTTCTCTCTCTCTGTCTCTCTGCTCATGAACAAAATAAATGAATAAACTTTAACCACAACGATAGTTTTTTTCCTTTCTTTCTTTCTTTCTTTCTTTCTTTCTTTCTTTCTTTCTTTCTTTCTTTCTTTCTTTCTTTCTTTCTTTCTTTCTGTGAGAGGTTTTTGCTACAGGGCACGAGTGCATGCCAGAGAGACAGAAAGCGAGAAATCACCCCCACCTACCCCCACCCCCCCCCCCTCCGAGAGGATGGCCATACCACAATCCCTTCTCCTCCATTCTCCTCTTGGGATCTTGGGCATGGATGCACGCACGCACAAGAAGTGCCTGGCATGAGTTTAAGCCACCGGATCTGAGACTTGAACCACGGTGGACTACATGGGAGTCCATTGACAGAGCCATTACGCTAACTGCTGGTCCCTACCACAACAATAGTTTTTAAACTGGATTTCCTTAGGTGCCCTTCCCCCTCCAGTTTATTTTCAAAATAACAGCCAGGATAATTCTTCAAAGATTTGGGAGCAGCACTTGGTGTAATGGCTACATTGCTGGACTCCCATGTAGTTGACCATGGTTCAAGTCCTGGACCCGGAGGCTTAAACTCACACCGGGCATATGTGCATGCATGCCCAAGATAACGAGAGGAGAATGGAGGAGAAGGGATTGCAGTGTGACCATCCTTCATGGGGGGTGATTTCCCACTTTCTGTCTCTCTGTTTCTTTCTGTCTTTCTTTCAAGCGCATGCATCCTATAGCAAAAAAACTCTCCCCCCCAAAAAAAAAATCTTCAAAGATTTAACTCGAGTCGCACATCATTAGCTGAACACCTCCCACTGAATGAAATATTCAATCTGAGCCAAAGTCCTTAGGATGGTGTGTGAGGCTCTAGATACCGTTCCCTGAAACCTCACCAACCTCACTGTGCTCCCTTCCTCATGCTATTGAAGATGTAGTGGCCCTTGTATGTCTCTTGGCCATGCCAGGCATGCTTCTGCCTCTGAAACTCTTTTCTCTCTCTACAATGCTTTTCGTCAGTTGGCTCCATGGTGCACTGCCACATTTTTCAAGTCATTGTTCAAATGTTATCTTGCTGTTTAGGGGAGCCTGACCAGAACTATACCAGCATTCCTTTTTTTTTTTGAGAGGTTTTTGCCATAGGGTGCGTGCGCTCGCCAGACAGAGACAGAAAGTGAGAAATCACCCTCCAGGGGGGATGGCCACACCACAATCCCTTCTCCTCCATTCTCTTCTTGGCATCTTGGGCATGCACGCACATGCGCCCGGCGTGAGTTTCTGAGTTTTAAGCCACCGGGTCCGGGACTCAAACCACGGTCAACTACATGGGAGTCCAGCGACATAGCCATTACGTTAACTGCTAGTCCCCCAGCATTCCTTTTATACTGCTTTATTATTGCTTTCTTTTTGCAATATTTGCTGCTATCTAACGCATCTAACAATTTATATGTTACGTGTATCAATTGTGCTTTTACAATAGACTGTAAGAATATCTGTAGTTTTTTTTTCCTGTTGCTCTATTATCAATGCCTACTTTAGTGCCTAGCATAAATTAGGAACTCAGTAAATAGGTCCTAAGAATGAACTAATGATAAATGGATAGAAATGGGTGGCAGTCTCAGGTTTACAGCCAATGAGAAAGAAGAAAATTGGCCTAGTTAGTAATTAAATATAAGTGATGTTAATGAGAGTAGTATCTTAGGTCAAGGTAAATATTCCAAATAGCTCTCTTACAGGAAAAGGCTTTATTTTCTCTGGTGATTTGGGGAGTATATAATTTTTGAGAAAAACTGAACAGAGAATATAGGGGTATTCATGAATATGGTGTTCTAGTGTAATCAAGCAACGTGATGACTTTTGAGAATGCTGCATAATTTTTATTTTTTAGATTATTGGGAAAATATAAAACCAACAAAGGCTATTTGGGCATCTTTGATAAGGGAAATTTTAAAGATTACATGTGGTTACTTTACCACATGATTTATACTAATTCCCCACCTCAACCACAGTGAGAGACTATGCTTTTACTATTGAAAATGGGGGGAGGGTCACCTTTTAAAAAATAATTCTACAGGATAATCAAAAGTTTGCATTTCCTTTTAAAAAAATAACGTCTTTATTAGGATGTAATTCACAAGCTGTACAATTCACCTTTATAAATTGTCCAATTAAATGGTTTTCAATACACTCGCAGTTGTATAATCATCACCACGATAAAATTTTATAGAATTTTAATTGCCCCCAAAAGAAATCCCATCTCCATTTATCCCACCCTCTGTGTCTCTGGATTTGCCTATTCTGAGCAATGTAGAGGAGTCAAATCACACAATATGTGACTTTTTATACTTAATATAAAGTATTCAAGGTTCATTCATGTTGCATCAGCACTTTATTCCTCTTGTTATCAAAAGAGATTCCACTGTTTGAATATAATTATAATTTGTTTATGTTGATTTCCATTTGAGTTATTTTCACTCTTTACCTATTAAGTATACATAATGCTTCTATAAACATAGATATAAAAGTTTTTGCGTGGATGTATGTTTTCATTTTTCATTAATAAAATCTGTAAGTGAAATTGCTGGGTCATATTTTAATTCTACATTTAATATTTTGAGTAACTGCCAGACTGTTTTCCAGCATGGTCACACTATTTTACAACCCTGCTAACACTGTACGAGAGTTTTAATTTCTCTACATTCTCTATAGCATTTGTTATAATCTGTTTAATCACTAGCTGTCCTACTGGGTGTGAAGCAGTATTTCACTATAATTTTGATTCACATTTCCCTAGTGGTTAATGATCTTGAGTATATTTCCATACGAGTATTGGTCATTTGTCTATCTTCTTTGGAGAAATGTCTATTCAAATGTCTATTGCCTCCTTTTTAAAAAGGCAGTATTTTTAATTTTTTTCTTTTGGGGGGGAGGGGAACTCATGATAGAGCATGTGCATGTACATGAGAGAGAAAAACAAAGAGAAAAGGAGAGAGAGAGAGAGGAACCCTTCCTAGGGCCTGGTCACAATGCAATCTCTTTCCTCAAGTCCTCCAACTCACTGGGATCCTAGGCACCTTTGTTATTTGCGCCTTCCAAGTCACATCTAAGAAACCATCTAACTCAAGGTCATGAATATTTACTCTTTAGTTCTTGCTTTAAATCTATGATTTATTGTGAGTTAGTTTTGTGTATGGCATGAATTAGAAGTTCAACTCCATTTTTTGCATGTGAATATCCAGTAGTCTCAGCACCATCCATCGAAAAGATTATTTTCCTCCATTAAATTGTCTTAGCACTTCGGTCAAAAACAGATTAAGCATACATGCACAGG